GAAGAAGAAGAAGAAGAAGAAGAAGAAGAAGAAGAAGAAGAAGAAGAAGAAGAAGAAGAAGAAGAAGAAGAAAAAGAAGAAAAAGAAGAAGAAGAAGAAGAAGAAGAAGAAGAAGAAGAAGAAGAAGAAGAAGAAGAAGAAGAAGAAGAAGAAGAAGAAGAAGAAGAAGAAGAAGAAGAAGAAGAAGAAAAAGAAAAAGAAGAAGAAGAAAAGAAGAAGAAGAAGGAGAAGAAGAAGAAGAAGAAGAAGAAGAAGAAGAAGAAGAAGAAGAAGAAGAAGAAGAAGAAGAAGAAGAAGAAGAAGAAGAAGAAGAAGAAGAAGAAGAAGAAGAAGAAGAAGAAGAAGAAGAAGAAGAAGAAGAAGAAGAAGAAGAAGAAGAAGAAGAAAAAGAAGAAGAAGAAGAAGAAGATAAAGAAGAAGAAAGTAATGTCTGTGATTCCTAGTATATACTAGGAAATCGAAAGTAGACAGCGAAAATTTAATATTTAGACAGATAGATAACATCTGTTAGAGCTCTTTGTTCCACTTGGAATAGACAAGATTGATACTGATACATGTAGATGAAGTGTCCTTAACATTTTGACAATTTGCCTGTATACCAGCGCGCTTTCTTGTGTGTATGTTTTCAGATCTTTTATTGCGTCAATTTGTAGATAAACATTTTTTTTTTTAATTCTACATCTGGAAAATCGGCTCTGTGGCTAAGTCGACGCGAACGCTTCGTAATGCCCGAGTGCCGGGTTCGATCCCAGCTGCGGGCCATGCGCCTTGGTTTCGACAGTTGTATCAGGGGACCGACCGTCCAGTAAAACAATGGTAAACTACTGGATGTAAATTTGCTTATAGAACCATAGCCAGGTGCTGCTGTGGTTGGTTCTGCAACGTCCTGTAAAGAATACGCACCTAACTAACATCTGGAGAAAAAAAAAAAGGAGTGGAGACGACAGCCAGGTGGGCAAACAGTCAGAGAGGCAGCCGATTGCCAGCCAGCCAGATAGAACGAATAAACGAACAAACTTTATTTTCGAAGGGTTAAGGCTCGTCTATTATTCTGCATTTTAACTCCGCTCCTTGCATACACTTATTCATTTATACCTCATTTCATAATAATGAGAATAAGAAGAATTTAAAAATATAGAAATCACAGTTGTCTCACCTGTACTATATATATTTTCCAAATCTGTTTTCGTAGCCGCGTGAATGTCAGCATCTATTCACGAAAGTATTTAAAAAAATAAAACGATTTTAGGAAAGACAAACGAAATATTCACAATTCAAACAACAGTATAATATATATATATATATATATATATATATATATATATATATATATATATATATATATATATATATATATATATATATTTTAAAACATCAACTCTTTTAATCCTAACCGATTGTTACTTTAACTCGTTCGACAGAAATATTCCTTAGGTCTAAAAGATGTTATATGTGACGCATTACAACAAAATAGATTTTGTATACGTATATTATATATGTAGTAATATTTATAGTAAAATACCTAGTAAAATATGTGTAGTAACTTCTTTGGCACCGAAAATTTCAAAAAGACAAAAACAAAATCTCAACATTTGGAGTATCCACTGAAATGTTAGGACCAAAGGAAGACCAAAAATCAATGATGGGAAGAATTCTCTAAAAAGTTTGTATTAGATCAACACAAACACAAGTTATATATAGAAAATGTCGACAAGTCGTCGTCCATACGTGACTAGATAACAGGTAAAAGACACACAAGGTTTAAAACAGAGAGGGTATACTTCACAGTATCGGGTTTTTATCATATATGGCTTAGTCTCTCTCAATTGAAGGGCTAGCCATCTGCCGAAAGGGTTGCACAAAGCACGAACATCGCAGTATTAAATCGATTCACAGAGATCTCTGTGGAAACTACACTTGTGAACGGAACATGCAGTCTGTGAAACGAATGCTTGACCTTCAGAATACAAGGCAGCAGGCCTAACCATTTTGCAACACAAACATCACCCCCTCACTTGCCACAGTGCACCATCCTAGTCCTAGTCCTTTTGAGAAAAAGCAGCACACCATCCGCTTACGATTAACTCATTACTGTAATTAGTCCAATCTTTCTAGTTGGTGACTCCAAGTGTTTACCAGTCTGCCAATATATTATATCTCCACAGTGTTCTTGGTCTGCCTCGTAATCTACAACCGTTCAATTCCCATGTGCATACAGTTTTTACCTCTCTGTCTTCTAACATTCTCTCCATATGCTCCGGCTATTTCAATCTTTAAGAAAACGTTAAAATAAGTAGTAAAGGAAAATTATTGCCAGTGGCGCATGGTACAAATGAGGCTAGACATAATTTATTAACCTTCAGATAAATAGACAGACGGACAGAAAGACAGATAGGTGGCTAATATATGCAATACATAAAATCACATATGCCCTTAGTCATTTATGGTTTTACCACCAGCATTCTGATTGTACACACCCAGACAGACAGACAGGTAGGTAGGCAAGTATACTGATAAACAGACAGAAAGGCAGGCAGGTAGGTAGGTAAGTATTTTGACAGACAGACAGACAGACAGACAGATAGGTAGACAGATTGGTAGATAGATAGACAGACAGACAGACAGACAGACAGACAGACAGACAGACAGACAGACAGACAGACAGACAGACAGACAGACAGACAGACAGACAGACAGACAGACAGACAGACAGACAGACAGACAGACAGACAGACAGACAGACAGACAGACAGACAGACAGACAGACAGACAGACAGACAGACAGACAGACAGATAGACAGATAGATAGATAGATAGATAGATAGATAGATAGATAGATAGATAGATAGATAGATAGATAGATAGATAGATAGATAGATAGATAGATAGATAGATAGATAGATAGATAGATAGATAGATAGATAGATAGATAGATAGATAGATAGAATAGATAGATAGATAGATAGATAGATAGATAGATAGATAGATAGATAGATAGATAGATAGATAGATAGATTAGATAGATAGATAGATAGATAGATAGATAGATAGATAGATAGATAGATAGATAGATAGATAGATAGATAGATAGATAGATAGATAGATAGATAGATAGATAGATAGATAGATAGATAGATAGATAGATAGATAGATAGATAGGATAGATAGATAGATAGATAGATAGATAGATAGATAGATAGATAGATAGATAGATAGATAGATAGATAGATAGATAGATAGATAGATAGATAGATAGATAGATAGATAGATAGATAGATAGATAGATAGATAGATAGATAGATAGATAGATAGATAGATAGATAGATAGATAGATAGATAGATAGATAGATAGATAGATAGATAGATAGATAGATAGATAGATAGATAGATAGATAGATAGATAGATAGATAGATAGATAGATAGATAGATAGATAGATAGATAGATAGATAGATAGATAGATAGATAGATAGATAGATAGATAGATAGATAGATAGATAGATAGATAGATAGATAGATAGATAGATAGATAGATAGATAGATAGATAGATAGATAGATAGATAGATAGATAGATAGATAGATAGATAGATAGATAGATAGATAGATAGAAAGATCCCAGAAGTAAGGACACAACTATGTTTGTATACAACACTTCGAGATGACACACACAGATAGCATTGTACGGGACACTGTTTAAATTAAAGTCTAAACAGCTCAATCTAGAAGTGGAATCAGCAAAAATATGCCTCCGTGGTAAAAGACTCCATAGACAACTATAATAATAATATAGGACACGTTAAAAATCTGGACAAATTGAAATAATCATCACAAACATTGGTGTTCGAATTCGTTACCTAATTTTCTGAATTGACAATCACAAAATGGCCACTTAACATTTACTACAAATATTCCTGGCCGCTTTTTTAATAATTGAGTGAGGAAAATTATGATCGTTATGAACTTAGAGAAATTATTGGTCTGGAATAGATAATGTATTCTAAAACGACGGCTCACTTACTAATGCCCGATTTCAAGGGAAATGCTAGACGGCGTTTCTAGTGCAAAAAATATGTTATATTCAACTTTATGGATACTTCCTTTCATGCATTTTTTTTTCTTGTTTTCTTATTCTTCTTTCCCTCTTGAACTTTGTAACCATTTCAGACGATTCTTTCAGGTTGACCAACTGTTATGCTGTGTTGCGATTTACAGCCACTTTACAGATTATGTGAGTAGATAACAAAGACGCCTGAACCTGGTGACTCAGATTCCTTGAGCTTCCCCCTTAACATGTTATAAGTGGAGTTAGAAAACTTCTTTACAATGTAAAGAAATTCTCATTAAAAGTATTTATGCATTCCATATTATTTCAAATATATTATGATCTTTATTTGCCATTCAGCAAGTTAACAAAAATTAATTACTACTACAACTACTAATAAAAACAATAATAACAAAATATTAATATGTCTGCAGCGCATTTCCCTCCCCCATTTGGGGTAGTCAAGGGGATTTATAGTAACCCCCCCCCCGTCCCCCCTCCCCTATCCCTGGACCCAGACCTAGATCTAGAAATTTTGTAAGTTAAGCAGGGGGTGGGGGGGGGGTGGGGGTGCTCAAAACCATAAAAGGTTGGCCGAATGTAAGATTGATCTGAGTGACCAATGGGTGACTTTTGCCGGATGAATTACGTGAAGAAAAAAGAAGAAGTATAGATCCCATTCTCTTGGCCTGACATGTCTAACACACACCTGGCAGGCCCCATCGTCTTGTAAAGATTGTGTGCACTCAGTGGATTATACAATCAAAATCCCAATGGCCACACGGCTTCACATATTAGGACATTTATCAGTGCCCATTTAGATAGGTTGACCTACCAGCCAAGGGTACTGTATTACGAAGTAATACTGATTCAAACCACCAGACCGACATTTTAGTCTCTAGCCACAACACTACCAGGATTTCAATGTACAATTAATTAATTATATAGTCTCACTTACGTTTAATACAGAGACCACGGAACTCAACAGCACCCAGAAGACTACATCGCTCCTCAAGACTCCAAGGCCTGTAGACGCACATACTGTTATAATGGGTCCATCCTTTCGGGCATAACCTGCTTTCTACAGGCTCAGGGTCGCCAAGGATATCGGTGTCGACGAAATTGGATGACACTTGAGAATCCCTGTAGAGCGCTTGTTGACCATTGTCCTCAGCAACAGTAGCATAATTCGGATCGTTTTCAGAGGCTGGCTCTAAATTATTTGGGGCTGAAATTGGATCTCCATGCGAGAAATTGACCGCGCTGTCTTCTGTTATGAAACTGCCTGTTGAATCACCAGGTGCTTCTGTGGAAACATGCAAATGTTATATATATATATATATATATATATATATATATATATATATATATATATATATATATATATATACAACAATGAGAAGGAGAGTTCTTTGGTCATGTGATGAGAAGAGGAGCGTTGGAAAATATCGTGATGCATGCCAAAAGTACTGGTAAAAGAGGCAGAGGCAGACCAAGAGAAATTATGGTAGATGGCTTAAGACAGTGGGTTGGAGGAATATCATCAGTTGAACAGATTCAGAACACCAAAGACCGAGATCTGCAGAGCTGCATTGACGACTACATCAGCTGGCAAGGCACTTGATGTTGATGATGAAATACATATATACAGACACGCACACATACTATAACAATCGCATATATATATATATATATATATATATATATATATATATATATATATATATATATACATGAAACAGAACAAAATGAAGATAATAAAGTGAATGCTGAGTGACACAATTTACCAGGTGAAGTCTTCTTACCGAAAACGTGTAACGCTTACAGGTCTTGCTAGTCACACACACGATAGGCTGTGATTCCCACGCCTCGCTGGATAGAATGATAATAATATCTTGAGCTAAAACAGGACATTCCACTAATATTTTGCCCTGAAAACGGGACATCCGAAGCACTTTATTTTAACCCCATCCTTTGTTCTTCTCCTAGGTCACCAGGGTGACAGGTTTAATTAATCGTTTTATTGGTATTACAACTGACCCATTGTCGCCAAGAATAAGACGAACATGTTCTTTATTTACACTGTGATAAGGGGGAAAAAAACATGCTACAGTAAACATTTCAATCAGCACATTTAAGGCATTATTGCATCTAAAAATATGAAATCTGGTCAAGTTTAAATATAGCCCTGCAAGTGTATGTTCTATTCTCGAGCCGTAAATGTTTATAAAACTGGACAACAATCGTCAGGACAAATGGAAAAGTGACACCAAGGCACTAAACTAATGCCGGCATCAATGTTGAACAGGACACGCTGCTTTTGCAGACTCTAATTTAATTTAGTGAGCATTTCGAAACGTATCATTATCCGTCGTGTGCACTGCATACATCCCAGATATAGTTATTCTGGCTGGCTTGGTCTGTGAGTTGTTTTTCTTTTTCTAAATGATGGAAAATAACTGTGATCACCGGAATGGCAAGCGAGCGTACTAGCTAGGCTAAGTAGCTCAGGAATACTTGTGTAGATGTGTGTAAAACAAGGAACTGAAAGTTTTTTTAAGCCTTGATGATCCCGTGTAGGAGGTAAAATATTTGACCATCTTTGTGAGAGTACATTGGGAATTTCCGGTGTGCAGGCATCACATCTGTAAATAAATCCCAGCGGGCTATTAAGTTACTTTACTGTTCGATCGCTTATTCTTCTTGTCCTACTGATTGATGCAGTAAAGGGTGACAGAGAGGAGTTCAGTTCAGCTTCCTGTCTTTTTCTAGTTGCACAGCTTGTGGTAATGCTGTACTGCGTTTCTTTAGTGTCTCTTTTTCTGCATCCACGCATCTTTTTCTTGGCAGGCCGCTTGCCTTGTAGCCAGCACTCTTTCTCATATAGGACGGTGTAGCCGCTGACTGATTTTGTTCTTTGAACAAAGAAGACACAAACAATAGATTGCACAATTTATTTATTGCCTGGCATATTTCGCTGTATTTCGTCAGGTGCATACTACAGTAACAATTACATAAATGAAGCAAATAAGTGAATCCTTTATAATTGAAGTACAATTTCAATGAAGCAAAAAAGTGAATCCTTTATAATTAAATTACAATTTCAATGAAATTGTACTTCAGTTATAAAGGATTCACTTATTTGCTTAATTTATGTAATTGTTACTGTAGTATGCACCTGACGAGATACATTAAGATTTGTAAGACAATAAAATTGTGCAATCTATTGTTTGTGTCTTCTTTGTTCAAATTTACAACGGGGAAACATTGCTTTGATTTTGTTCTATTACAACCAACTGACTATAACATTTGATTCTTTGACGCTCTAAAATCATTCACCAGTACTGTGCCTCCCACTGTTCTAAGTACTTCCTTAGTGAGTCTGCCTCTTCTTGTTTAAAGTATCACAGTAAATAATAAACATTATACTGTAAGTATCTTCGATCGAGGTCGACCCAGCCTTGAGTGGGTACCGGGTGCAGTTTACTTTTACTTATCTTCGATCGCTTATCCTTCTTTTGTCCAACTGCTTATGCAGTAAAGCATTGCATATAGCAATTACATATACTTGCCCTTCTTTCGCTAGTTGCATAGGTTGAGTTGAAGTCATACTGCGTTTCTGTATTGTCTCTTTAACTCCATCTATCCATGTCTTTCTTGATCGTCTTCTTGTACTTAGCCTACTGCTTTCGTGTTATACTCTCTAGTTGCAGACTGATTTTATTCCATTCTGACCAGGGGACAAAACCCTTTCGTTCTTTGATGTTCTAAGACTGCCATTTGTCACAGTTTATAGCAGGTGAATTTGTCTCTTCTTGTTTTTCCTGCCACATTTCTTACACAACCAATCTCCTTGTTGTGATTCTATGTTTATGTTTTTCAGGGACTTTTTTCGGTGCTTGATATTTTAAATTCCTCAATAGTGGCGCTATTTGGTAATTTATGTAGTTTGCTTTCCATATCCTGTTTTCTATTTCTCTGTCTGGGACACAGCTGCACTTATTATCCAGCACTACGTTTACAACAACACAGTTTGAATTATGGTGAATGACATGTTCCTAATCTTGAAATAATACTTCAGGCTTCACAAAATGAAATAACTGTTAATCTAAATATATTGTCAACGAAAGTACTTATTCACTTTATGATTTAGCGAAATTACTCCAACAAATAATTTTTCTACTTCTGCAGTCATCTGTTCTTCATCGCTCATAGGAGAACATACCGACAAGCAACCTAGACGAGTCCATACTATCGTTTGCCATCTCCTGCAGCTTCAACCGTATCCTTCTCTTATTATTTCCCGATGCTTATAATCTTCTTCTTCTTCTTCTTCTTCTTCTTCTTCTTCTTCTTCTTCTTCTTCTTCTTCTTCTTCTTCTTCTTCTTCTTCATTTTCAGTTTCCTGCCTTCGAGAATGAATTATGTAGGATTAAAATCTCAAGGAAACGCCGTTCAACCGTTTAAGCTTATAGCCAAATAGCAGAGTTACATTAGAACACCGCAACACGGTTACAAAGTGTGGGGTGTTTCTAATGGAAACTCATCCTACGTTTCTTAGTTATTACAAAGGTCTCATAACATTCTTAAAAGTCAGGTTAAAGTCAAGAAGATCGACTTCATTTCACTGGGTTTAATCCCATACAGTTTAGTCTCTCTCCGCAGAACGCCCGGTGGCATGCCGAGAAAGAACGATCTCAGAGCTCCGGTGACGATCCCCAGAAATCTCAATAAAAACTGCACTCGTGAACCGGACGACGCAGTTAGGAAACAAACCAGCTACCTTCAGAGCAAGAGGCAAATCTTGACCACTTGCGCACGGAGATACGTACTTGATGTCTCCTATCACAGACAGCTACATTAGTATCAGGCACTCTCATTTTCGTAATCTCTGCACCAGGACCAAGGAGAAGTTAAGTTTAAAAAAAATTAACTTTTCTAACTTAAATTATGAGCATTTTGAGTTATTTACACCCCAAATATCCTAATGCCATGAAAGCTTATCTTAACTTTTATATTTATATTCCCCCCTCCCTCCCCCCCCCCTAATATCTGTATCTTTTCCTCTGTCGTACCTACAATACTACTACCTAAAGGGCATCTGAATCCGTCTTTGCGTTATTATTCGAAAAAATGTAATGGCAATCTTTGTTTTTTACATTTATTTTTAATGATGAGAAGGTGGGGGGGGGGGGGGAAGGGGAGGATGGTATTCTAGGAGTGCGATTCACCTTTCTGTTTTAGGAAAACAACTAGAGGACTTTAAAGACTACAGACATTATATAAAGTTTAACAGCTCTTGCGACTGTCTTTTACACGTCAAAACTTAGAGGTAAAGAACAGAATTTGCTAAGATTTTGTAAACTAAAACTTGAAGCCGACAAAAGAAAACTAGATTAAATGCCTTGAGAAATAGCTTGCTACCTATATATATGTATATATAATGAACATTTTACAAAAGACACTATTGATATATATAAAATTAGAAAAACGCTGCTTCCTTATAAAACTGTGTAACATATTGCAAAGTTTTAGATCCAGTAATATTACTATAATATACATTACAAAAGAAAGCCATCCAATGCATTAAAACATTCATTAAAACAAAAATGATTAGCCTAAAGGCGCTTTAAAAAGCCAGACTCTGGTCTCTACAAAAACCGCGCTTAGTAATTATGTCTTTTCAAGTCAAAGTATCGATATCAATACTGTTAGCATACAAACGACTGTATGTTGGAACAAACATATTGCGATATAGTAATATGGTTCACTAAAATGAAAATCCTAAAGAAAAACATAGTGCCTTACTTTTTTTTATGTATTATGTTGAAAAACAACTAATTCGATCACATCCAGTTTTATGTCTTCTTCTTCTTCTTCTTCTTCTTCTTCTTCTTCTTCTTCTTCTTCTTCTTCTTCTTCTTCTTCTTCTTCTTCTTCTTCTTCTTCTTCTTCTTCTTCTTCTTCTTCTTCTTCTTCTTCTTCTTCTTCTTCTCCTTTTTCTTCTTCTTCTTCTTCTTCTTCTTCTTCTTCTTCTTCTTCTTCTTCTTCTTCTTCTTCTTCTTCTTCTTCTTCTTCTTCTTCTTCTTCTTCTTCTTCTTCTTCTTCTTCTTCTTCTTCTTCTTCTTCTCTTCCACCTTGTACCTCATCGAAGTGTCGGTGGGAGATATAACATTCGTTGATGAGCTCTGTCAAGAGCACTATTAAGACTGTTTATTTCTGTAAGGCTGTTCTTAAATGCCATCACTCCATATTTCCGATGTCTTCCACTCGCTCTATACCCGTTGTAACGTTTTAGTGTGGCTCGCTGTGGCAGATAGTACCAGATCATTCTTGTTAGGTGTCCAAACCACTTCATTTGTTGTTCTTAGATTACCTCTAAGATTGGCTTCATTCCCAGCATTCGTATGATTTTGTAATTTTGTATTCTGTCTTTCCTTGAAATTCTTGCAGCTCTTCTCAGGCATTTCATCTCTGTTCTCACAAATTTACGTTCATTGGAGGATGTTAGTGGCCACGTTTGGCATTGATAACATAACGTTGGCCATAAAATAGTTCTGATAAGGTTCATTTGAGCACTCCGGGGTATCTGCTTGTGTGTCAACAGGGGAGATAGTTGCTCCATTGCTTGATTAGCTATGGCACATCTGGAGCTAATTTCTCTGTCCAGTTTTCCGTCGAATGTGAAAATGGCTCCCAAATACTTAAATTCCTCTGTTTGTCTTAAGGTATTGTTTTTTAATTGTATTTCTAAATTGTGTTTCTGTCTTCCTATCACCATTGTCTCTGTCTTCGTAGTGATTATTTTCATATTCAATTCCTCCCTTTTGTTACTAATTTGATTTAGGTGGTTCTTTAGGCATTATGTATTTTTTGCAATGAGTACCTGGTTGTCGGCGAATAGTAACTCTGTAATATCTTCTTCATGATTAAAGTTTGTTTCCTTACATATGGTATCCATGTATGTTATAAAAAGAAGCGGCGATAGTACACAGCCCTGACGCATACCAGAGTTCACTATGAAAGTTCTTGACAATCCTGCCTTCGAGCGTTTGCAGCATTTTCTAAGTGTGTACAGGCTATCTTTTCAGAAACTATAGGTCGACCTACATCTGCCTCGACACAGACAGAAGACTATTTTGGGGTCCAAACGAACCCAACGCCAAACAAGCTAGCCGCAGCCACTAAACACTTGAGTCCCTATAGTTGCTGCGGCTAGCTTGTATTTAAAAAACCCCACAGCAGACACTTATCTTCTAGTATGAGATGTGTGGAGCGCCTAGCTGATTAGATAGAGTTCAAAGCATTCATTCAGGTGACCAGGGTTTGAATCCTTGGTAAATTGATGGAGCATAAATTCTGCGAGAAACAAAAATAAAATCCTTATTCGTACAGTTCATGGTGACTGTACCAGGCAATAACTACTCAGACATAAGGTCCCTTGTTTCACACCAGTCGAAACCTGTGGTCTACGTTGTTCTCAGAAGTGGTAAATACAGAAAGTAAAGCAATTTAGACAGTATTATATGTGAAAAATATAATTAACGTCTTTTCAACATTTACCAAGATATGTTCCTTTTTTTAAACTATAATTTCTAATATCAACGCCTCGCATCTTCTTGTTTTTAGCGTTCACCTGCTGCAAACTCCGGAGATAAATTTGATTGTTAGTCCACTACTGAACTTTGGTCTTGATCCAGACTCAGGCAGATGCACTCCGACTTTAAGGGAAACATTCTAATTAGTCTCCTCCAACGACATAGGTGTGTGTGTGTGGGGGGGGGGAGGAGGGTGTCCTACCAGTTTTTGTCCTCCAGGTCTAGGGCCCGGAACCCACACAGGGACAAACGCCTAGTATAAGATGCAACACTAAAAGTTATAACTCTCCTTAAATCAAACTTGTATTTTGACATTTAATTAAAAGAATTTAATCACATAATGTTAAAATATTTAAGTTAATCATAAGATCAAGTTCTAAGAGCTTAAAAGTAAATAGGCTTTTCAGTGTGCAGTTCTTGTCATGTTAAAGTTTATCGTATTTAGCCAGGGCACACTATTTCAGTCGTACTTTCACTGCAACTTCTATATTAAGATTCTTGAATCCTCTTAATGATTTCCATTAACGTATGCCAACTTAAGCCAGAGACGGAGCCATATTTTCCTTCCCTCTCTCTCTCTCTCTCTTTTTTGTTCTCCTTCATAAATGGCTTTGGCTCCCAGGTCGCCAAGTCTCAAATGGATACCAGGTAAAGTACTGGGGAGTAAAGGGGGCCGGTTTGATATTGACAACCTTATCAACCGAATGCCTATTGGTTTATAAAATATATATCAAGCAATGTATGCTCAGTACCTATGAAAGAATCCTTAATTTTTTTTTTTTTTAACTTGTATTTAAATAAGCCGGGGTTTGGCTTACAACCACAAATCTGTCGTGATTTCCGGAGTTGATTGTGTGTGTGCATTTGTGTATCATACATATACATATTTCCACACGTCCAACTATGTATAAATATATTAGAAACTAGAAAGAGAAACAGAAAGTAAAGAAAATACCATGAAGCAGAATCGTACCTCGGCATTTAGCATCCATGGCACATGAGGAAAAATTAGGTGGAGGTGAATGTTGTAATTTGCATAAACCATTACAAAAAATTTGGGGCAACTTATAAAGACTGTCAAGTACTTAGTCAGGAAGCCTGTTCGATGTCTTTGAAAGTAGAATTTAGAAAATAGTTTTGCTTAAAAAAAAATTTGTAAATGGTGCTTATCAAGGGCGAGTATTTGTATGATGCTGCACTACAAACGTTCTTCGACATAATAAAAATGTACTGTGGTCCTTCTAGATGAGACGCTGCCACTTGAAAAATAAGCCTCCCCCCTACCCCGACCCATTCAAGTGGTGTCTAGAGCTTCTGCCCTACCAACCACACTTTAAGTACGCCACTAACCATAAGGCATTGGCATGCAAAACTAAACAGACTGCTCTTCTCAGTCAACAAATGTATACCTTACGAATGTGAACAAAATGACAAAGTTCCATGACACTTATTAAGACTTGGGAGAAATATAATATCACAATGAACTTACCTAAGACAGAATTGTGGAGATCGATAGGCAACCCAGTCTACTTGGCCTTTATATTAAAAACTCAACGATCACCGTCTCAGATTCAAATTCTTGGAAAGCTTTTTGTTTTCAACAGAGGAGTGACAAGTGATAGGAATGTCGTAATAAGATGCCAGAATGCTAACGCATTGACTAGCTCTGGTGACTGCTAAAACATCCAATTACCAGTATGGAAACCTAAGGACAATTCATCAGGGGCATATTTTTTTTACTAGATATTTCTTATAAGTGTCAGGCATCAGGCCTTGTCATCCACGAAGGCTCATGACAGGAGAAGCAGAGGGGAGTTGTCAGTTTTGCCAGAAGAGACAAAGAAATGACATCAAATAAGTGGTAGGAGCAACACTGTGCATTGATTACATACAGAGGCAGAATGTCGTGTATGTTGTTCAGTACTGACTGACTTTCTACCCCACCAGGACATCACACAAGCGATAAACACCCGATGACACAAAGTGCCACCATGTGGATGAGGATCACCGTGGAGAGGCCCCAGAAACCGCGTTCAGACAATTGGCCATATCTATGACCTGCCTATATTGCGGCCCCTGGCAAAAGCCAGAGTGGGGCCTCAAATAAAAAAATACGTCCTAAAAAGGACGAAAGTGGATGATAAGAGTAGAACTTAATGTGTGGTTCAGTACATTAACATCAATGGGAACTGCAGATTTCCTCGTGCGTTTCTTTACCTTCAGAATAATGGAATACAGAGAACGAGGAAGCCCAAAGAGCACACGAACAGACGTCATCAAGAATTCAGAACGACGTGGACACACAATAACTTTCGCGACATATCTGTCACTGGCAAACAAACTTCAGCTCGACATAAAATATGAAACAAATCGGCAGACGTATTGGATCGTGACAAACCAGATGTTATCAGGACCCTCCGGGAGTGAGTGAACAGCATGGAAGCAGAAATAGTTCATCACGGTCTGAAGACAATGATGCGGCGGGGTCCGACCAGAGCATCTAGCCGATATTCAACACTCATTATAAATGGAAGACAATCAGCCAGGCCGCCGATGGAACTATTGGAATCGTATAAGAATATCCCGAGTGTGACGATATCGGTTATTAACTAAATCAACATCACACCTCACAACTTATCTAGGCGAATTCGGAATCAGTACGAGGTACAACATGGTGTATCTGATTGTTCGACAGTCAAATTATAAAACAAGCAAACAGATAAGTACTTTTCCTGATTAATTTGCACCTTTCCGTCTTTCTAGACGCTAGTATTATATCGAGCTATGATAAGACATAGAACTCACAGCCCTTGGCGATGGCGAAAACGACTAGCAAGACCCGCCTGCTTTTAGAAATGTCATCACAATTATAGTTTGCGATTTCAGGACCATTGTTGTCAGTATTTGTTTTTAGTCTTTCTTCTCAGACACTCAGTTCTCATCCTTTCTGCAGTCATTCTTCCTTTATTCTCATTCTCTTCTTGATGTTCCCGCTTCACACAACACGGTTCTTTTTGTTCCTACGAGTCGACATCAATAACTGCATCATTCATGTCCCGCTTGCACAAGTACATTTATAAAGATACATTACTTTTACACAAATACATATATGCACGTATACTTACAGTGGACATTACCATTTATGTATAATTATACTCGTAGAAAAAAATACACTTAAACGTGTGAACTTGCTTACTTATTATGCAAAGACCATTGACACCAATGCCTCCCAGCCCACCGCAGTACAAAGCGACCGCTTTCTCTGTTGATCCATCCCCTTGCGTCACACAGAAATGGTGATAATGGTGCCAACCCCTGGGGCAAACATTTCCACTCTCTGCCAGAGGAGACCCATCTGAAAATAGAAGTATTGAAATTATCATGAGGGGCGGGGTTGGGGGGGGGGGGTATATTAAATGGTTTATGAGGGGGGACTGAGAGACTAGAGATCGCAGGTCTAACAAGTATCATGTCTTAAACTATTTGAAATAATGTACAAAATGCCAACAAACAGGTGGCATGATGTTTAGTATTTCGAACAATAATAGATGAATGGCGAAACAAAGCAGAAGCTTCTTTCAGTCTCTCTATACAAAAGTTACAGTAGAAGTTTATAAACTCTAGAGATAACTGTGAGAGAATGAAAAAAAAGAATGGGAAAAATAAAGCTGGGTTTGGTTGAATCATCGTGTGTCGAAAGACTAGGAACGTGTTTAAACTAAGATTCAAAGAAATTTGCGATTTGGTCAATTCCAGGTTTGAGACTAGATAAAGTGATGTACATAATGCTAAAGGAGTCGCTATGGTGTAGAGGTAGATGCGGATCGCCTGCGGATCGGAAGGTCGTGGGTTTCTTCGAAAATGATCTTGGCTTCCAGGACGACTCAGCCTTGAGTGGGTGCCATGTGCAGTCCTAAGAAGTAAAGACGGCCAGCATGATATTGACCACATCTCCCACCATGTGCCGAGTGTTCTATAAAATATAGGTCCAGCCCTATATGCCCAATTCGCCTGAAGGTGTGAAAAGGAGTCCTTTATTTACTTTTATTTATTTTTTGTTTGTAAATATTTTTGTTACGTACATTGTGGTAATAAACACAAACATTACAATTACTTTTTGTGTTTAATAGAGAGTGAATGAAAAGGGAAGCAGGTAATGCCTACGATTACACACACAGAAGATAGAAATTGTTATTGCAATTAAAATGACTGACTTCGTGACCACCTTGAAAGGTATAATTCTTCATCGCCTGGAGACTCCAGCGGAAATTTCTGGTTGTTTGTTTGCCCCTGGACTTCAGTCCTGTTCCATAACTTGGTATGACTTACACGTATGCAGAGTGCTGGTTCCTTGCCTCTGAGGCAGATACGCTTCGACTTCAAAGGAAGCTTCAAGTTTGTCGACTCTTACGGCATGCTTGTTGGGGGAGACAATAGATGTATTCTTATTTGTCCCACGATGGGGACCAGGAACATACAATGCGAGGAAAAGCTATAGAAATGCAGTTACAGAAATGAAGTTCACACAATACTAGAGATAATGACATTAAAGGATAACACACACACAAGTACGTAATTGTATGAAACAAATACTGAAAGGGTAGAAAACAATCAAATATAAGGAGGTGAAATGTATGATATTTTGAAAATTTAAAGAGAGTTACTAGTAGAAGAAATATGAAACGAAAACAGAAAAGTGAGGAATGGGGAAGGAGAAAAGAGGGGGGTGGGGGTGGAATGGGGTAAGGAAAACCAAATTAATAGGGGGAAAGAAAGTAAAAAGATGGGAAAAAAGGTTATGAAAGATAGGCAATGAAGAGAATGAAAAAAAAAACACACACACACAAATAAGAAGATGAAGAAACGATGAAGGTTAAAGTGGGATGAATAGAAGAAGAAAAAGACTAAAATATAAGACACTAAAGAAGAATGTATGAGAAGAAGAAAACCTAGGAACCAACTCAAGAAAAGAAGAAATAGGAGGTGAAACAATTAGAACATGAAATAGAATTAGAAAAAGGTGTTAAAGGAGAGGAAAACAGAAAATAATGAGGATGTGATGGAAGGGATAGAAAAAGATGCGAAAAATGTACACAAAAAAAGGTGATTGAGAAGAAAGAGATAAGAAAAACATGAAAAAAGACTACGAAGAGAAGTATAGGATGAAAATCATAACAGGAGAAGAAGATCAAAAGTAGCAGAAGAAAAACCAGGAGAAGAAAGATTCTTTCCTTTTGTGGTATCCAGTACCAGCGTTTTATATCCCACAGTGTCCGACAAAGCTTATGACAAATATTGTAAGCTGTGCCCTGCTCAAACATGATCTGTTGGGCCTCACTAAAGGTCTGAACGAATCTGGCGTCCAGGCACGAGCTTGCAAGACTCAAACGCAGAGAAAACACAACATGCAATTTATTCCCGCTGGCGGAAGTGAGAAGTGGGCCTGTGTGCTGAAACAAATGCTACATCTTCACTCCGATTTTCCTTTCTCACTGTGACGTCTTGTATTATCAGAAGCTAATTGCTTCCATAGCAAATACTTACTCTTTTCTAGGAAAGGAAGCGAGTCTCAAAAGCCTTGATTTGTAGCATGTGTACTTATGAAATGACACATATAAAAGGAAAGTTAAGAGAGAGTATGAAATCAATAAGATTTAAAGAGTGAGATGCTGAGATAATAATTTAAAAAAAGTGAAAAAGCTATGGAAAAATTAAAATAAAAATAAAAATACAGGAGTAATAAAGAAGGATGTAGCACTATAATATTACGTTATTTTGCTCGTTTGGGGGAAAAAACGAAAGACATTACATGAATTTGTAAAGTTTATTATTGACAAATGTTCGCGTAATGTTGACCGTATCATCCACGGGTTTCCGACTGGTCTCATATGAATCTAGCACTTGTTTAAAATGGATTCAGAAAGTAGTTACATTTTGGTATCTGGTTCCAGTTAGTAATAAGACACAGGATTTAAGTGCAGTAGTGTAGTCATAGAGCGACAGCACTGGCCATATTGCCTTAAATCCTTAGGCCCAAAGAAGCTCTGCCTACACTGCAAAAGTAGTAAAATAAAGGCAATAAAAACTTACAGGGTAATTTGGAAACTATTTGTAAAATAAACACTATTGGAGATTACTGGAAACTGTTCGTAAAATAATTAGTGCCGGGGCGTATAAACCACACACACACACAAAAAAAACCTACAAAGGTTGACTATCCAAAGAACTGCTATGAAATTGGTCAACTTAAGAGGGAGGTCAACATTAGAAATTAGGCCTATTGTACTTCCTTGGAAATAGCAGCGCTGTAAAATAAGTACTCGTACCCGCGAATGTGACCAAAATGCGTGTATATTATTCGATACACATTCACTTAAAATAAATACTACCGGAGTGCTTTGCAAACCGCATCATCAATGCATATCTTACATTGTGTATGTTTATACTTCAGTAGCGTACGGAGTCATATTATTCACTGTCTTCTGTCACATGTACTGTCAGCTATATCTTATTTTTTTTACTGGAAATTGTGTACACATCAAGCGCTACAGCGAAATTGAAAAAATAACGGAAGAAAGAATGGTACTAGGAAAGAGAAGCAGGGGACGGTCTAGCACGAAGATTGGCACATGATATAAATGACACCTTGAGTAAAAAAGTGCATGAGAACTGGCGAATTCTTTTTTTTTTTTTTTTAGACACACAGCGATGAGAGCGACTTTTTGCGAAGGACCTGCTACAAGATGAACGCCCAAGTAGTTCCTTCCTACTATGTTTTTAGAGTTCCCGACTATCGAACATATTTCTTAAGAATACTATAGTTCTATTTACTTTTAAGTTTGTTCGATCATGTTCTATAACATGCATATACAAGATCTAAAAATTAAGTAATGAGACTGATTTTATTATGCTAAGACAAAAATGCCATCTTTGATTTACAGCATGGAATCCAAAAAAGGCAAAGTTCGTCTATAATCTGGCAACTTTTCATCACCGTCCTATAAGCACACAACAAACACGCCGCCATTTTGATAACCTAGTTGGAGGTGCATTGTTACAAAATCAGCAAGGAGCAACAAAAAAAAAAACAAAAAAATAGCTGACATTAAATTCTTTTTAAAACTCAGAAATAATATGAACATACTGAACAACCCATACATCTAATGCGGACGTACACATTCCTCTATGCACCGTTAATGATGGTCAGCGTAGCTATGTGAAGATTTTATTCTTCTCTTTGTCATCTAAGCAATCTTCAGCTTCACGTCCAGTGGAAAATTATGGATGTCCGTCCAATTCTGGACTTTGGTCTTGTTCCAAAACTTAAGATTTGCGTACATATCTGTTTGACAGATTTGACTTATTCACTTACCTTTGTGTACTCTTCTTTCAGGCAGATGTGTTCCGACTTCGAGGAAAACACACCAGTTAGTAGTATTTTACAATATGATTGTTAGGGACAGCGAGGCTATTCTTTTACCTCAGATCGTGTGCCAGGAAGCCACACTGATAGAGCTTTTGTTCTGTTTGTAGTTTTTTCTGAATACTTATGTTTTTCTTATGTAAGCTTTAATTACCTGTGATGTAATGTAGAGCTTTTTGTCTGTTTTTAGTTTTTTCTGAATAGTTATGTTTTTCTTATGTAAGCTTTAATTACCTGTGATGTACCATTAGTTATATTAATTAAAAGATGCCGCTTAACAGAAAAAAAAAAAAAAAAGACAAGAAGCAGATAGAGAAATACTAGAAAAAGGGGGGTGGGCAGAGACTTTGGTAACGTACTCTCATTTCTGAAATGAGAAGTAATATTCAGAGCACTATCTCGCGTCTCATTGTGATCCCTCTTGTGTGCTATTGTATCACGTCACGGTTTCTATAAATACTCTCTTGTCACGATTCTTGATCCTCTTTCTATCTTTCCAAAATCTCAACATGTCCTTTCTTACGAGGCGATTAGCTTTCTTTATATTTATTTTGTACTTTTCAGTAAAGCTAGTTGCAAAGTGGTTAAGCCGTTTGCCTCGCGCTCTGAAGGTCAATTGTTCATTTCATTCATTTCACGGCTGCGCCGTTTAGTTCACAAGTCCAATTTTTACGGATATGCCCGGGGATCGTGACTGGAGCTACGGAATGAGAGCTCTGTGAGAAGTTCACGGCAGGCGACTACCGTTCTATGGAGAAACCGAGCCATATGTTTTAATAACAGGTTCAATAAAGTCGATCCTCTCGACAGTTACCTTTAGCTTTAATTAAATGTTGAATGTGGGTTGTTGAATTAAATATCGATACCACAGCACTCGTGACACTACCATAATGCTCTGTCCCCATCTTCAGCAGCAAGCAAAGAGTTAAAAT